TAGTATACTTATATATACGCTAATTTTTCATCTGTGATTAGTCTGTTTAGCTTGAGAGGTCGTCAGGGACAGTGTAACGGCGTTACCATTGTAAATACTACGCATTCTCTTGCGCATTGTATATACTACGGACCTTGACAGAGAAATACCGGTTTGGTTCGCAAACAATTCTATATTGCAATGAAGTGGGAATCGACACACTATAGGAGCCAGAATGTGACCAGTTCATGGTCACATTCTTGCAGTTTGATGAGCGCAGAAAATGTAATTGGAAATTGCACCAGGATGCAATCACTCAAACTGAAGTCTGCAGAATATAAATCTAGCGCACCGTAGTTGATCAAGAGATGAAGGAATAACGCGACGTTCTATTTGTTATGTTAACAACGGGAATTTTCTCAAGGTACGAAGAGCATCTCGGAGGAACAAATTTCAAAATATAGTTTTGTTTCTTCATGCGTTAATAGGACGACGTCCAGTTAATCGATGAACCCTACTTACCTTTATTTAACCTGAGTTTTCTTAAGAATATGGAAACAGATTCATGATTGCAAAAGTCATGCCCTGATCCCATGTTGAAATAACTCGTCTCGTCTTTTCTATCAATTGGAAATGGATCAAGGTAAAAAGAGAGGACTGCACAGCAAAGCGTAATAGTGGTGAATATTTTTTTTCAATTTCAGTCCCATGGATTAATTGATGCAAAAGTTATATGCTATGCAAAAATTATGTACACGGTTGAGATAAGATGTAACTTTTTTCCGGACAACGCTGCGATCGCAAAAATATCTGACCGGTGGTACACATTATGCTGAGTACTGAATCGTAATAACTATACTATTAAGTTTCTAGTACTCTGAAAACATAATCCATGTTTATTTGTACGGAACACACATCATGAGTAAAATGTCAGCTTATCGAAAAGCGGATGTATATATAAGCAGGGATGAGGTATGGGCTCTTCACAAACTTACATTGTGTAAAGCCAATTGCCATTAACTTTTTACTACCAAAGTATCAATTCCTATACTAAATCTTTTTGAAACCTACAATACATGTCAGATTGCTATGAAGCCACCAGCAACCTTGTAAAGTTGGACCTGATGGCAGGCATCGAATTACGAACGTTGCATTTCAGTTATTGACTTTGTCTCTGGTGACTCGAAATTTGTAGGCGTATCGTCACAGCACGTCTTCAACCATTTGTAGTCAATAAGGAAACTGAGTCATGAATTTTTTTAGAATTATAATATAGTATGGAGCAAAATTGATTTCACGGGCTCTTTTCATACTATTGAGGATTTGCGAGACTCGTTAAACTATGCTCTCTAGCAATAACAATGGGGTAAATTGTTCTTTAAAACAACAGTAGAATTGGTCCTTTGTTTTCTGAATTCGATGTGCACGTTGAAATCGAGTCTGTTTTCTGCAGTGATGTATGTTATGCCAAATGTGCAAATGCAATGAACGTTATGTAGTGATCGAGGTCCAATTAATTACAGATATAATTGAGGCTTGCGAAGGGATAGGAGAACAGTCATTCTCCCCCGTGAATGCATGTTTCTCGTACCACTAAATACGTCACATGAATTGCGTCAAGATCATTGCTGACGTAGAGGGCAGGGTGACGAAGTATTACAATTCTCCCTTGAACTGGCAAAAATTTTACTCCATACAAAAATAATGCTGTATATCAGAATTGGTAATGCATTACGTCACGTTTAATTGCATAGATATTAGATACTTATGAGTATAATGCACTGAAGGACTTCAATACTCGCGGTTCGCACCCAAGGTCCCTTCACTTGAATTCACCTCCAATCCTCGATGGTACACGAATCCAGGTCGCAGGGGTGTTCGGGGCAGAGATAAGTGAGGCAGCTGAGGTACGTGGTGGGAATATTCTTGCGCGAGGACATAAATCCTCGTGGTTACTTGGCTACCGTCGACTGACTTTAGCTGTTGATTGTGGCGATTTTGACGTAGTACTTTTTGAGGTACGACGTTCGTGTGGTTTTAGTGTGGAACATGACAAGTTGCAAATCTTTTCCAACTCGCTTGGCTAGTATCGACTGTAACAGTGGGCGGATTGTAAGAGCTACACACTCTGCGTACGTGGAGTTTTTCTGGGTAGAAGGTTGGAACTGAAATACAGTGCTGCAAGTTAACAGAAAATTATGAATGTTAGAATAATTCTACTTTCAAATTTTTTTTTTCAGTCATTAGAGTCGTCTGAAGGCAATGGTAAGCCGTTCAGTTTTGAAGGGCGTGCATGCAATTGCCGCGTGGACGTGCGTTGCTAACTAGGTTAGGATTGCGCTTTTGAAAAGCTAATCTCATTTGGCATCGCCCACGGCCGCACGGCTCACTGATTCTGTGCTGCAACCGCTTTCTCAAGAGGGCCAAGGCAAGCCAAAATTTAAGAATGTTTTCGAGCGACTTCGAAGAAGATGATCGTATTTCCGCTAGACTTTCTCTGATGATTGAATGAGAGCGTCTGAAAGAGCTCTTTGGCTGCTGAAATTTGCATCTTTATGTCTGACAAACCAAAGCCAAGAAAGCTCACTTCGACGACAAATTCAATTTCCTTGCTAGTGAAATGTCCTTTGTAATTATCCATGCTAGATATTCTTTATATAACTGAATTGAAAAAAAAAATAAAACTTTGATCATATATAATGGACATGAACGAACGTGAACATTTCAATCCTTGTTCACTCACTACCTTGGGAGCCGTCAACCAAGACGACGTCAACGTTCCAATGTCTACTCATTGTCTAGCCACAAGAGACTAGACCAGTAGACCACTAGTAATAATTTACGTTGTCTTGGTTTTTGTTGCGCGCGGAGAAAATTCAGTGTTTTATCTGAAAGGGCACACCTCAAGTGGACGGTTTATGCTAAAACCTGCTAAAACGTTTGAAATATTCAATAAATTGTATTTTGTGGTCAATCAGATGACTTAAAGAACATAAAATTATTACTGCAATATTACCGTTGAAGTTAATGTATTCTTTGTTATAGCCCCATAGAGAGTACATAAAAAACAAATGTATGTATCTAACCGAGACGATTTTTCTGCATAAAATGAGTTTTACGGCCTAAATTCCACACAGAAGAGTACTCATCATTTTTGCGTAATTCGGATCTTAAGGTACCGCAGTCGTATATTTTTCTTTACCGGAGACTTCCATAGTTCATAATCTTAGAAGAAGTGTCATTGATCTCAGGGGACTTGACATTGCGTTGGAAGATGCCGTTAATTTTATGACCCGACCGCAGTCCTAATTACCTCATTATCTTGCCTCCACTGACCGAGCTCCAGAAACCGTTCTTTTGAGCCCGTCAGTTGAGGCTAATAGATTCACGCGAGAGCTCGTTGATGTCAGTATTACGGAGCTCTATTTTTGGAGCTCATTGAATCAAATGTTATTTTAGGTTCTATTGTGTAATTGAGACTGACATTAGTATGAAAGAATTCGTTTCAGACGCCTAGTGGAATTAAATGAACTCGAGAAATTTGATCTGAATTTTACAGGCATTCTTCTCAAAGTTGATTGCATTTAAAATATAGCAATAACTTCGCGTGTGTAACGTACGATTTGATCAATTCCATCCAGTTATTATTTCGATATGAAGAAATTTGATTGTCAGAAATGATCAATTAGTTTTCATCCTAATTTGTATGATTAACATTCATAGCAAACAATTTTTATCGTTAAATTATCCTATGATGCAAATCACCCTTCTGCACAAATTGAAAAATTAGAAACAAATCATCTCAATCGGAATTTCATGAAGGTGCTAGGGAATAGTAACGAATACATTAAATAACTGAGAACCGTATTTTTAGCGCATTTTCTCATTTATGGAAAAAAGGCGCTATTGTGCTCGTCATGTCCGTCTGTCCGTCCGTCTGTCCGATACTTCACGTTTTCGTCGACGAGAAAATGCGCTCTCTGTCACTCACTGCAGTGAGTACTGAGTTATGTTTTTACCATTAGTAATTATTTCTTTTTATGTTATAGTTCTCTGCACTTTAGGGTTTGATCATTTCAGGAATTTATTCATTCATGTTAAGAACACAAGCTAGAGAAGTTCTTGGACAAGCACGGCGTAATTGTACAGGCCGGATTTAACAAATATATTTTGAAAACTTATGCGCAAATAAACTAAACCTCCCTGCATGATGTGACTGAGATAAGTAGTCGCCAGCAAAGGAATATAATATTGTTTCAATAATAGTTTTGATGCTTCTTCGCTAGTCCTCCGCCCGTCGGTGTAACAAATTTCATGGGTTTTCTAACGCAACTGCTGGATATTTTGCAAATCTGCCACAAAATATAGCGACCCTGCACGCTTGGTAACAAAACTTTCTGCTCCTCTCTTCCTTTCATGTCTCAAGTGATCTCAAGTTTTCTTCGTATAATGCGCTTCGAGGCAGATCAGAATCCGTAATCACGACTCAGTCTCGAATGACAGACCATAGCAGAGCTTCATTTCAGAGCGTAGCTACAGGATACAAGTCTGAATATGAAATTTTTTTAGTGATAGGCTTTACTGATCCAATTTGAATTGGGCAATATCAATAGTATGTCTCTTTGCCATGTAATTTAAGATATGATCCAAATAATTAAACAGATTTTTATCGTTTTACCGATAAATTATACAGAAGCGATTCTTGTATGTATGTTGAAGGTAAACTTAAAACGCCAAACAACTATTAATTAATTGAAAAAAAAAAACATTTTTACACTCGGAAGTTCAGAAAAGGTAAATGGCAAATTGAATGGTCTGAAATAATTTGTGAAGCAAACCATAACCACCAAATAAGACCAAGTAACAGAGTGATAATATTCACACTCTTATCTCTTTTGTTTTTATTCAAGCGTTTGTTTATATACTAGAGCCGTTTCATCTCCGTTACTGTATATCAAAGAAAGTGTTTTTTTACCTGCAGGACCTGAGATGCTGGAGAAGAGAACGTCTCCAAAGCGAAGATGACGCGACAGAGACTCAGGAAGAGGCGTAAGAAATTTCATAGTAGCTTTGCTGCAAATGTCTTGTGGCCAGAAGGGAACGTGATAATCAATATGCCAAAGTTAACTTTTATCCTCATTCCTTGTATATTAGCAATTTTTGTTGAATGTTTAGGTTCTTCTGAAGAAATTCGTTTCACGTCTTCTTACTACAACGCAAGCGTGCCAGAAAATGCTCCCGACAACACACCTGTCGTGAGCGATGAGATGATGGGGGTGTTTTTACCATCAGAAAGTTTTAAAGTACGATACCGTGTTACTTCAGGTGATCCAGATAATTTGTTCAGAGTAACTGCTAAACCCGTGGGAAATTTTTGTTTTTTAGAAATAACTTTTCGTAAGCAATCCTCAGTAACCCTCAACAGAGAACGCCAGGATGTCTACAACTTACAAGTTAAAGCTCAGCGCCGTTGGGATAATCGAACGAAACTCAACATCCAAGGAGTTGAAACCACGGTTGTCATAACCATTGGTGATTTGAATGACCTAATCCCTCTTTTTTCACAGCCAGTGTACTCAGTAGAAGTTAGTGAAGACACGCCGATCTACAGTTCAATTATAAAAGTGCATGCGGACGACCCAGACACGGACCTAAATGGTAAGATTTATTACCGTTTCAGGGAAGAAAGCTCTACATTCGTTATTCATCCACACTTGGGTATCGTGACTTCAACTAGAACCTTGAATTTTCATGAAAAATCTGTGTATAATTTCACGCTGATGGCTCGCGACAGGGGCAGCGAGCACGACGGACACTGGCCAGCAGAAGCGAAACTCGTGATTACTGTACAAGAAGTAAATGTCTTTGAGCCACAAATGAAAGTTTCACTGCTGGAAGAAATGAGTCATAAAGGTCATTTGTTGCTCGTTGCTATCGTCACGGTGCTCGATAATGATGAAGGGGTGAGCGGACTCGTTGATTCCCTTGAAATTGTGGACGGAGATCCTGAAAGAGTTTTCAGAATCATTCCAAGCGAAGAAACTAACGAATTTAGCTTGGCTGCCCTCGGAACAATAGATTGGGTGTCAAGGCCTTTAGGTTACAATTTGACTTTAAAGGCAACGGACCGCGGAACAATAGCTAGATTTAGTTACAAGGATATTTTTGTAGCACCACCAAAAACCACCAAACAACAGCCTTCTCTGTTGAAAAACCAATACGAGTTCAACATCAGCGAGGCGGCTCCTCCAGGAAGTTTCGTCGGCATTCTGGGTTACTGGATTCCCGGAACCAGCGGAGAAGAAGTGTATTTTTTATCTGAAGACAATAAGGTTCGCGAATTTGCTGTTGAACCGACTTCAGGAACACTCACAACTGTAATCCCATTGGACGCCGAAACTGTGTCGTCATATTCATTCCAAGTTCTTGCGAAATCTAAAGACCAATCCGGCGTACAGATGACAGAAATAAAAATACATGTGATCGATGCAAATGATAACACTCCAATGATTGTTGCTCCTCAAGGTGTGGTGCAAATGAATGAAAATTTACCGGCCAACACTTGGGTTGTCAAAGTACGAGCACAAGACTATGATTTTGGGAAAAACGGTGCGGTATCGTATTCATTAGCAAACAGCGAAAATGTTCCTTTCAAAATCGATCACTTCACTGGCGAAGTACGTTCAACCAAGGTTTTGGATTACGAGTCCGGACGGCGGATTTGGAAATTACTAGTTCGAGCGTCTGACTGGGGTGAACCATTTCGGCGACAAACTGAAAAAATTATCACCATTCACGTCCAAGATGTCAACGACAATCGCCCACAGTTCGAGCGAGTCGATTGTTCAGGCTACATCGATCGTTCTGCTCCTCTTGGTACTGAAATTATGACTTTATCTGCCATTGATTTCGATGCCGGCAACATTATTTCCTATCGCATTCTGTCAGGGAACAACGACCGATGTTTCGATGTGGATTCGGTGAAGGGAGTGATTTCGCTTATGTGTGACCTACAGGATATGGAAGGAAATGAGCGATTTTTAAATGTCACAGCAACTGATGGACAGAATTTTGCAGATTCAATGAATGTGCGCCTACAATTGATTCATTCTCGCAGTGCTGCTTCGCATACGCCTTGGGTGGATTTAAAATGTTCAGACACGTTCGTGACGAAAACTCTGTCAAGTTTACTCGCAGAGTCCGCTGTAAATAATGAAGTCCAGAAATACGCTTCAAAAGCAGCAAACTTGCCTCTTTTTTCGACTAATCATCACCCGCCAGTGTTTAACAACCCTCCTAAGGAAGTGAGAGTGCGAGAAAATTCCGAGATCGGAACAATTATCCTCACATTGGAAGCTAACGATGTTGACACAGGCTATGATGGCTACCTTGCATTTGCGATTTCTAGCGGCAATCACCAGTCCGTATTCAGAATTGATGTCGACTCAGGAAATTTAATAATTGTTGGCGAATTGGACAGGGAAAGCAGAGACAAATATGTTCTGAATTTGACGGTCTTTGATTTGGGTGTACCCCAAAAATCCTCATCACATGAACTAGTAGTCATTATTGTCGATGAAAATGACAATATACCCAAGTTTGATAAAGTTGCATACAGTTTTTTCCTTCCCGAATCAGTCGGTAATGGTACAAACGTACATCAGCTCAGAGCTGTCGATCCCGACTCTGGTCGATTCGGAGCCATTACGTACTCGCTCATTACGGATACGAAAGATTTTTGGATGAACCCTTCAACGGGATTATTAAGCGTATCCGGTTCTCTTGATTACGAAACTATAGAAGAATATGAACTGCGAGTGGTAGCGACCGACGGAGGTGGGCTGAGCTCTCAGGCTTACATTATGGTGCAAGTTGCCGACGTCAATGACTGCGCCCCACAGTTCTTCGACTCCGAGTATCTGACCGTAAAGGTCTCGGAAGACGCTCCGGTTGGTTCATTAGTGATTCTAATGTATGCCTACGACTCAGACTCGTCCAATTTGCGGTACTTTATTGACGAAGGATCGACTACTTTCTCTATCGATGAAAACTCTGGGGCGATACGAGTGGCGGAGCCTCTAGATTACGAGTTGCGGCTCTCGTACAACATCAGCATCCGCGCTACAGATGATGGCTTCCAACCGCTCTCAACGCGCACTTCTCTCACCATAGAGGTAAATATTTAACATGAATTTAAATTACTTTTTTTACACAGATATTAATTCATTATTTGATGCTTAGATTATTGATTAGATAACATATATTTGGTATTAATAGATAACATGTATTTGGTATTTTTAATTAATTAAATATATTAATTAATTAATATATTTAAGATTAATTGCGGGGGATCATAGAGAATTTGTGCACTTCACATCGAACTAAGTTATTCGCTGAGGTAATAAAACTACGCGACTGCAAGACAAACATCCAATTCCGAAAATTATTTGTAAAGCCATTATCGAAGCTTGTAATATTTTCATGTCTGGCAGAAAGATTTCAGCGTAATCCTACGTAATGATTCCGTTGTGTCCGCAACTTGCGAATTATTAATTGCAGAATATTGATATTTATCAATATTTTTTATGAACACTTCTTCAATATCAATATAATTTTTCTAGTTAAATGCGTCCCTTAAATAAATTTGTGATTCGCAATTTACGCGAAAAATGTCGTTCATGATACCAAATGGAGATTTGAACAGCTTTGTTTGTTTAGGTATTAATTTGTAGTGCTTCACTCGTTGAAGTGATCATTCTAACTTCTTTCACAATATTTTTTATAATAGAAATGAAGCGTTTTGTGTTTTTAAGCGAGTGTTTTTACTAAACCTAAAATCTTCGATCCAATACGATCTCGTATTGTTTTCCGGATTACGTGCACAGTTGAGATTAAATGCATAATATCGGTTTAGTCCCAAACTGTGACTGTTGAACAAGTTGGTGAGAGTCGGATAATCGTAAGCGCGACTGTGATTCAACTAGATCCCCTATTCTGCGTAACATGGCGTTCGCCGGTGCTGCATATGGACGTGAGCGAGAACCTGCATGGGCCAGCACACGTGGTGCCATTTCCTGTTAATTGCGTATGCAGGTTCTAGACGAGAACGAGAACCTGCATGGGCCAGCATCACGTGATGCCATGTCCTGTTAATGGCGTTTGCAGGTTCTAGACGTGAACGAGAACCTGCATGGGCCAGTTCGTTTGCAGGTTCTAGACGTGAATGAGAACATGCATGGGCCTGCATCACGTGATGCCATGTCCTCTTAATGTCGTTTGCAGGTTCTAGACGTGAATGAGAACCTGCATGGGCCAGTATCACGTGATGCCATGTCCTGTTAATGGCGTTTGCAGGTTCTAGACGTGAATGAGAACATACACGCTCCAACGTTCGGCCGAGACGTTGCGGAGGTGAGGGTGCCGGAGAGCTTGCCGCCACACTCGCTGTTGTTGGCCGCGCCCGCCGTGGACGGGGACATCAACCCCTTGGACGCCGCCATTACCTACTCCATCCTCGGCCAACAGAGCAAAGGGTTGTTCTATATTGACCAACAGGGTGGGTGATTAAAAAATCATGTGACAACCATTTTTTCTGTACTTTTATTCAGCAACTTCTGTTTCGCAACAATTTAAATAACAATAATTAAATTTCTTCATATCGACATAACAATTTAATATGCACCAATTTATTACAAAGGGTTGTTCTATATTGACCAAAAGGCTGGGTCGATTATAAAAATTCTATGACAACCATTTTTTTCTGTTCTTTTATTCAGCAACTGATATATAAATGCTAAATTTTATTGAGGAAATCTTCATTTAAGATGCAGATCTGCGAATATTGATTTCACTTACAAATGATTATTGATTGAACAAGCGGTCACTGTCTTCAGGAGACATCTATTCCGCTGGCTGGCTAGATCGCGAGTCCCAGGCCCACTATTGGCTCACCATCCGCGCCACCGACTCGGGCACCTCTCCTCTGCACTCAACTCTACACGTGAGTGACATGCGATGCTCCTACTTGTACGTAAGTACCGTACAGTGCTTTTATATACAGTTGATTTCAACACCACAACCTGACAGTAAGTTCATCGCAATAATACAACCTGATCGTAAGTTCATTGCAATACCACAACCTGACCTGCAACACCACATTACAACCTGACCTGATGTAATGATTCACCCCAATTTATGTAATTTGATTTTCTAAAAGTGACTCCATGTAGAAACCTACATCAAGTTTTTAGTTCAGAGAAGCTCGACATGAAATGATGTCTGGGACAAGATCGCCATGAATTGATCGGGCTGCACAAGGTTGGTTCAAGAATTAGCGATCAATTATTTAAAGGAAATATTTGGGTTTTCATATTAGTTGACTGCAGCGGAAAAGAAGCTAAGAAATGGATCTAAATTAAAACTGGGAGTAATAAAAACGAATCTGATGATGCATAGATCGAACGTCCTACGAAGGCCCTTTCAATGTCTTATTTCGAATAAAGGGTAAGATGAACAGAACTAAAATTTTAATTGTATTGATTATAATGGGCAGGATACTATATTTAACTATCATTTTCATTTCAAAATAGTTAATTTTTAAAACCAGACCGATGGATATAAAGCTGTAAAATGGGACGAATTAATGAATGGAACAAGATTTTGGGATAGTGATTGGCAAAGTTATCGTATAACATGGTATGCGTCTTAGTTCGAAATTGCTGTAGGTCTAACTTGGAGTATTTTGAGACCTCTTTGAACACAGGTTCTTAAATAATGTTCAACAATTTGAAGAGGCTTAACAGGTATAATACCACAAACATGAAATGCATCGCGGAAATGATTGAATACTATATTCACAAATTTGTTGTCTGCGTGGTCCAGGTCTATATTGAAATCCTGGACGTGAACGACAATATCCCGGTGCCCGACTCCCCAAGCTACTCAGCTTCTGTCACGGAGGGCGCCGCGGCCGGCACCTTCGTCGTCGGGGTGACCGCCTCGGACCCGGACTTGGACTCTGTCATCTCCTACAGCTTCGGCTCGGGCAACGAGCGCGGACACTTCAACATTGACCCGCAAACTGGTGAGATTTGACAGTCAAATTTGTAAGATGGAAGATTTATTTTCAGCTGACTGTGATCAGTTTTGGAAAACTTGCAAGAAAAATAGTCGGTAAGCATTTTCTAATGTACAAAATCATGCCATTGAAGCGCAATTTCGAAAATAGTCGGTAATTTTTTCAAATGTACAAAATCATGCCATTGAAGCGCAATCTTCGTACTTACCTCAACCAGTTTTAAAATCTCAATGTCTCAAATTTTTTGCTAAGATCACATGAAAATTAAGCTGTATGCATATCATGAGGCTTTAGATCAGTCAGAACTTCAAAGCGAGGCTAACCGATTGTAGTCTGACATCAATCAATCAATCAATGACTAGAGAGATAAGTTGCCGTTAAAATTCTAATTACTTCTTCTTCCTAAACGAACGAAAAAACTCAGTGAGCTCTCCCAAGCGGCACCTCGCTGCTAACACAATTTCATTTCAAACTTCATTATCCGTACGTACCTACCCTCGATCTCGTTATCGCAACATATGACATCGGAGGCTGCACTGATTTTCGACAGCAAGCGGTTCCTTATCGCCCCTGAATATCGCTGGACGCTAAGCGTCCTGTGAACAAATCGAGATAATTACACACCTAAACGCTGTTTGTTTATTACGCACCCTGTTATGTTTGGATATATTTGCTGACCGGATATGAGAGTTGTGACGTATTGAAAAAAAGACCACTAGTGGTATTTTTCTCGTCCGCATAAATGTAATGAAAATATATTGACTGCTGATTCGAAGAGTCCGATAGGTGAAAGCACAACTTATAAGGCAGTACAATTGCTAATACTTAGATCTACTTAAAGGTAGTGTTTAAAGCTTATCTTTCAACCTTGGTAATACAAAATTACTTTAAATTTTCCAGCATTATGTTGAGGAAAGTTTATCTAAATTTCCATAATACGAGTGAATATAACGTACTGGTTTCGAATAAGAAACTTGTTATGCTGAAGATCCGTTTCATTTTGTTAGAGGATCTGATTCGTACAGCTGATTCGGTCAGTTAATTAGCAAATCTAATTCTGCAGCTGTCCTTGCAAGAGCAGCTTTAGGCCTGATTCGAAATAAATCACGACCCAGATTCGGTTGTACGCAGCCATGTTACCAAAATATTAGGTTTTAGTTTTAGGTTTGAGTTTTTATAAGGTTGAGTTTTAGTTCTATGTCATCGCTGAAATTGAGAACACATACGAATTTTATTAACAAAATCTTCCTTGAAGCGAAAGTAAATTAAAAAAAAAAATTTCGATGTCTACACATCGCACGCATGAAATTGAACATCATAAGCTGACAGCTCTTTTTACCACAATTCCAAGTATAAACTTAAACTGCGCAACTAAAATTTCAATTAGCTTTGAAATTATCTCTCTTTCATTTAAAATCTAAATCCGGAATAATTCCTTGAATTCTATTTTGCAACTCTCTTCTTGGCCACCACGACGACCAATGGCGCTTGCAATGAGTCGTAAAAGGCAGTTTGTGCCCGAGACTGGGGAGGTTTGAGGAGGATGAACGTGACGGGGGCAAACCTAGAGCCATTCCTTCCTGCCGCGCTGTGCCAGAACTGCTCGCTTCGCGTACTTTATGGAGGCTCTTGCTCGCGCAATCTGTTTGGCCGGCCGGGACGAACGCGAACGTGACGAGCAGAGATGTGCTGTATATTTCACTGCACAGAGATGTGATGTGTAGATAACGCATTCTATAATGAAAAGTTCGCTGAGGAATTTCATTGAGTGTAAGTATATGTTTTCGTGATACTTTTCCGTGGTTAAACGAATTAAGTGCTGAAGTGATTCAGCGTACATGAACTTAAGACCTATATTATGTGTTCCAACTAATCATATTTTTTTTCACAATATATGTATATTGCATTTAAATAGCTAATTAATTTGCGTTTTTTTTGACGAATCACGTTTTGCTTGAGGACATATCTCTGTATGCTACCTTAACGTTTGTCCGAACACAAACGCTAGTATTGTATCCACGTCAGCCAAACGCAAGCAATTGCTTCCTGCTTCTCGAATGCCGAGTGTATGTACAGATATACCTTGGATATTGCCTTGCCTGACCTGCCTTGCCGACGACAAATGCACAGCAATATGTACGTCCTCGCCAGTGCTTGCTAGGGTATTTTGCTGAAGTACAATGCACGCAGAACTTCTCCTGAGCACAGCATGGCGCAGACATGTCCGACGCTGTCGGAATATTCAACTGTTCCAGAGGCTATATTGTTGTTTATTAAGACGAGTCTTGGTGCGCGAGCTCAAGCTACAGCTTTTGTTCCAAGGTTGGAATAATATGCGCTAGCATTTGCCCGGACCTGTCTGCGATAATGCCAGCACATATCATGTAGGAATTTAATTTCCTTGTTTGGCGGAAATAAAGACATGCTGGACAATTCATATTAAGCATTTGAAAAATGCTCCGGATAACAATAGAAACATTCAAGATTTACGTCAAACTAGTTATTTATTAAAAACTAAGTGCCATTCTCCCGAGCAAATCCGCACCTTTTGCGGAACCAGCTAATTGTCAACAACCAGAATAGGTATACTAACTTGATTACTATAAGACCACTGATTTCTGCTCAATAATTCCAGGACAACTAATCCAAAAGATTATACTCAAGTTAGAATTTTTTGTTTTCTGCAGGAGTTATTACAACTACGGGAATTACATTGGATCGTGAACAGCAAGAACATCACACGATTCAAGTGGTTATTAGAGATAATCCTGATCCCACTTTGGCCTTGTCGTCCTCTGTGGATGTTTTCGTCCGAGTGTTGGACGTCAATGACAACGTCCCAAGTTTTCTTCAAGAGTCCTACAACTTCAGCGTTCCATTTATAGAAGGTTTCAGCTCTTGGTCGGGAAGAATTGAGAACGACGCAGAGGCTTTCGCAGGACAGGTAAAAGATTCGCAGCCGGAGTCTGTGGGTGAAAAAGTTAGAGTATAATTTTTAAATAGTAAATTTGTTTGAAAGTTACGCCGGCAGGAGTTTCCCCCAAGAAGGTTAGGTTATATAGACGCTGCCATCTGAAATAGAATTGAAAAAATCTTATATAAGAATAAACCCCGCTGTTTTATTTGACGGTAGGGGCTTCCCTGGGTATTTAGCATCCTACTTTCACTTGAGAAACGGTGCCAGATCGTTTAAAATTCATAATTTACCTGACGTAACTTTCAATTGATGTTTGCCTATTATTACTGTGAACTATAAGCTGCACTAGATTGTTGCAGGAATTTGATATAATTCCATTTGTTGAATTTGTTATAAATTTTAATATTTTACATATGATACTTATTCCCGTTTGAAATTCAGTTAATTTTTTTGTTTATAATAATTCCAGTTGAATGCTTCAACAATGAAACTGAGTTTATTGTTTCATTTAAAAACCGTAAGTCAGAAACTACTTTATTACGCGATATTGAAAAAATTAGCTTTATTCATTTTTAATTCTTTGTACATTTTTTCAATTTTCAATTATATTAAATGCATTTCCGGAGAGATGTTCATAACTTCATAAATTTAATTCTCACAGGATATCAAAAAGTTGACTAAGTGCGCATAAATAATTCGCTCTGCATATTTTCAGTTGCTTTTATATCGAGGATATGAGCTAGAAATACTGCGCTACTCGCTCGCTTTGAGGGAATTAAGCCTACGAATGTTTTTACCGCGACCCGAGAGGAACGACTGTCAAAAGTTTACTCAAATTCACGCTTTCCACTTTTCATGAACCAAAATATGAGTAAAATCGTAAATTGCGTTGTAATTCTGCCTTTTAAAATGAATAATTTCTGGAGAGATATATTTCACTTTTCATGGAACCGAAAATTTATGTTTTATGTTTTTTAATCAATGAATGATATCTTGAAATCGCAAAATTATTCATTTTCAACTTTAAAAAGTTCTCATCAGGGAAATTCTACAATAATATCTTTATTATCGTTGATTGCTTCTCAGTATCGGTAGCCGTGTAAGTCACATGTCAATGTGATCAGGCGAGTTTGTTAGAGCGACAAATAGTTGTTAATGAAGTATCATTGAAAGGGCTATGATCTTGGATTAATTTACATTTGGCAGCAAATCTTTATCTTATACCTCTCATCCCCATGTTTAACAAGATTAAGTAAAAATGCCCACTTTAAATTTATTACGCAGTTATTTTGCACCGAAACTGAAATCGAAAAGCAGAATGGAATTGGACAGGTGGTGGCTGGCGATCTTGACGCGGGTGACAACGGGCGCGTGACGTACAGGCTGCAGCAGGAGGCCCAGTGGCAGGGGCTGTTCAGAGTGCATCCCGTGTCAGGGGTCGTCACCATGCGGCATCCCACCGAAGCGGGCAAAATCTACACTTTGGCTGTGAGTTGGCTAAACTTTATTTCATTGAAATGGATAAATTATATGGATACAGGGATTGGGCCAAGGAAGAGAAAGATCTGATTTTGATATCGCAATTTTTGAACATGTTCCCTAACAAAATTTAGAGTCGCCCCAGCTTCTGGTGATCCAAATCAGAAGCTGCCGCGTCTGTAAATTTTCACTGGGAATTATCAACAATGATAACGTGATATATTTTCAAATTTTATTGTTTATTGCTGCTGCTAATTGATATTTTATCCTTGCACAAATATTTTTTTGCAAAATTTGGTGTTTATAACCTAACCTCTAACCTATAAATGGTAAACCTCTCTGACTATCAAAGAGACCAAATGGTTGGTGCCCATGTGGCAGGTGCTAATGTGACAGAAATTTCCCGAATGCTTGACGTTTCTAGTGGTACTGTCTCAAAAGTAATGACTGATTTTGGAAGAGAAGGAAAAACGTCCTCAGCAAAGCACAGGTAAGGCCGAAAGTCGAAGTTTTTTAGAAAGACCGACGGTACCTAAATCAAATTATAGGGGACAATCGAAAGATCACGGCTGTTAAAATTACCTCAGACCTCACTCAAAAGACACCTACTGAACTAAGTTTCCATAAAGACTGTCCGCCGAGAGCTGCACAGATTTGGATTCTATGAAAGAGCTGCTATTATAAAACCTCTGGTTTCATATACAAATGCTTTATATCATATTGAGCGGTGTAAAAACCTCCAGAATTGGTCCCTTGAGCTAGCAGTAGATAAATGTGATTTTCTCTGACGAATCATCGTTTACCTTATTTAGAACCTCTGGCTGAGTTCACGTTTGGAGACAATCAAATTAAAGAGTCATTTAATCCCGACTGCCTCCTCCCATCCGTAAAACATTGCGAGGGATGTGTGATGGCCTAGGGTGTTATTTCTTGGAAATGCGGAGGACCAATGATTACTCTTCATGGAAGAATCAACAGCCGTAACTATTTAGGAATTTTGGAAGACCAAGTTCATCCAATGCTTCAAGCATTTGTTCCCGGAGGAAAACGCCATCTTTCAAGATGATAATGCCTCGATCCATACAGCTGGAATAGTTGAAAAATGGCACGAGGAACATTCTAATGAAGTTGGGAATCTCATTTGGCCACCACAATCACCAGACATGAATATTATCGAGCATTTATGGTCTAATTTAGAGTTGCAAGTCATAAGTCGATTTTCGCTGCCATCGTCTTTAAAAGAGCTGGACGGAGTTTTAACTTAAAAATTGGTTAAAATTCCTTCGGAAACCATTCACCAATTAAATGAATCAATACCTCGGAGAATTGAGGCGGTAATGGCCGCAAAAAGTGGGTCTACAGCCCCAATACAATATATTTGCTGATTTCTATGGCGTTTTCTTTATTTGTCTAACCCCTGCTGTGTATTGGTTACAGGATAGAGAAAAAATTTTTCGACTTATTATTATTTGTAAGAATTCGAAATTCTCCTACGATATTGAAATTATTTCCTGTGCGAACTAATTGGATGAAGCAGCTGCAGCGAAAAATTGAAAAGCTAAAAGCTGATATGCTTTAATTTCCTTTTTCAAATGAGAGTGTAAACCTGAAATAATGATCACTTTAATCGGTGCATTGTTTTGAAAACCCATGGTGCATGTAAAAAATTTAATACCACACATTATTATACATGATCCAACCAATCAGTATTAGTACTGAAACTGACAAAATGTGCTCTATCAGCAAAAGTTATGAGAAGTTACCTAGGGATGTATCTTCAGAAACAAATTTGAATGTATATATCAATTTTCTATTCGCTTAATTTAACCTGCAGTCATTTTTCATGAAATTTCATCCTGATGAAATTCCAGGACTGACATTTGGACGAAATTTCAGTCCAGCCTTTTCATGTTCCTTTGTCGGGGCTCTCAACGTTGCAGCTCCAGGCCGTTGACTAGTTGTCTATGAAAATCAAAGCCAGTCTTATTATGCTGGAATACTTTATAATAAACAAGCTTCGACAAGTGACAGTATTTCAGAATAACATCTGTACTTCTGCCGTTCGCAAGACTGCGGGTCGTCACTCATCTTAGATGAAATAAAACGGGGAAAAACAAATCAGCAAAGAAATTGTCTCAAACCAATTATTGACATTGAAATACTTTAGCAACGAGCAGAGAAATAATAACTGTTAATATATCGTCTCTACTGAAAGATCAGTTAATTTCATATTACTAATAAGTGTTATTGTTCCCGCTCTGCAATAATAGTAGGTAACCTATGATTATTTTAGCAACCATGTAACTAATTTCCTCAGTCAAATGTGTCTTCCAAACGTTCGGGGTCCGGTTATGTCCAGTTTGTTTTATGTATATCAAGAGAACATGAAAACATAAATTGAATCGTATAATATTTTCTCATTTTTACCAAGAAGATGCATGAAAGTAACAGATTTACACACATTTGAACAGCACTATTAAGATGCTTGAAAAAATATTGTACATATTACTCACAAGATAAAGTTATCGTCCGATACCTTGCACTACGTATCATACTTCGCTCCAAATGGTGCGTGATATGAAGGAAATTTTGGATGTTTTCGCTTGGTTTCTCTTTTTGCTGGTTGGACCAGCGAGCTCGAGACAACAGTCAATAATGAAGCTCTAGCCCTGCGAGACTCAATCAACGGTTGCTTTCCTCAGATCCGAGCCGAAGATCAATCCTCGCCAGCTCGCTGGAGCTCAGTTGAAGTGCACGTCGAGATCACAGTTACATCAGAGCCACAGTCGCTTATTGAACTTCAAGACTCGGAAATTGTGCGCCTCACAGTTGCCGACGATGTGCCAGTTGGATACTTGATTCACTCAATCAAGCTGAAGAAGCTCTACTCGACTTCTTTATGGTATAACTTCATAGGTAAGTGAATTTTATGTACGTCAGTAGATTTATTTTACGAAACACTGATGCGCGTAAAACTTTTTGCTATGATGTTGTACAGAATAGCATTCTGCATCATAAGGATTACTGATATTTTCGCCTCTTGGAGGTATGATTTTTTTTTGTCGGTAAACAATCGCAGTTAAAAAACTCCCTGGTTGAAACAAGACAAAAAACGATCATACGACCTAAGTCCCTTAGCATTCTGCAATTTTTAACTTTTGAATTATTAATTTTTCATCTTACTCTTAATGTTATTCCTTAATTTCTAGTGTTAAATCACGCAAGAGATTTTCTGACTATTTTGCACACTTAATTTAAATGGAATAGAATTAAATTTTATCCAAGATTGTGATTTCATACTATTCTGGAATGTATCATGCAGAAATTTTCCATTTTACGACAGGAAATTTATCCTGTTTTTGATGGAATTTTCGAAAAACTTTCAACTATTTTAACATGAAGATGGCTTATAAATTTAGCCCTTGGTTTTTGAAGTGCACATAGAAAATGTTGGTTTATCACTCTCAACAATGGAGCATAACCATGCGTTATTTATTACAAACTTCAGACGGTAGCAGCGCTGGAGCGTTGGCTCTTGACAACAGAGGTGGACTGCTAGTGGCCGGAAAGCTGGCAGAACAACGCCAACGCGTCTACAACGTCAGCATAGAAGTGTCAGATGGCTTCAGCAAGCTCGTTGCTAGGGTCAGTTATGAGGACTTGTGATGTATTTAGCACTCGTTGCTAGGGTCAGTTATGAGGACTTTTGATGTATTTAGCACTCAATTGTTCGCTCTTCGAATTTTTTCTGGTGTAGAATATTTTTGTTTCATACTGTAATTCAACTGCATGTACTATAGGGCCATGATGCGATCGATCATTCGAGGGATAATTTAATTATTTTGTTGAAGATTACTGAGCAGGTTTTATTATTTCAGTGAAAAGAAACGTGCATTGGTTTCTAGTAATTTTAAGACTTGATGTGCATGGGGTAGAAAGTAATTTAATCTAAAAAAAATAATACTCCTCCTACCTTCTTCTAACATCAACGTTGCATGTGGGGAAACTTTTTTTATAATTGCATTTGTGTATATAATTTAACAATGTTCCATGCTATTTAAAGTAATTTGAGTAGAATTTGACATATTATGTATAGCAGCACAAACACATCGGCTTTATTCACAAGAGACTTGATTATATTTATTTTATTGCAGTTGTATGGAAATACACGACAAATTCTACGTGTTCAATGCTTCTAAAATCAAATGATGTTCATAGAATATCAATCTGAAAAATTTACCAACCGTTATGACTTTATGTTTCGTTAGTAAATTTATTATGATAATGCCAAGCTCATTACTGTGATAAATGTGAAAAACTCGTGCTTAAAGCTATACACTTCAAAGGCAATAATATTATTGTAGCTCTGGCCCCGTTGTTATGGTGACCAGCCTGCCTCAGGCTCCTCGTCAGAGATCGCGTGTTGTGCTCTGATGTATTTTCTCATCACACAATAGCAGCCAGCGCAGAGGATCTCAATACAGAACTCAAAAACTTCTAGCCTCGCTATGACATGTTACCAAGAAAAATTATTTCCGTTGTCACTGAAAACTTAATTATGAAATGGAAGTTTTTATAGTACAACAAAGTTTCCTTCTTTATTTCATCTTCACACATAGTCTTCATGTTAAGGCATTTTCTGTTTCTACCACTATTCAACTTAATGTCAGGACTTTTTTCAAAAAGTTTACATTAGACTCTTTCTGCAAGCTCATTAATATTTGCCGTATTCGTGTTCAAAAGAGGAGGCTGAAGTCACATAATCTATTCTTGCGACGTATAATTTTTGAATGTCATGATTCAAATCATAGATAATTCTGAAAGAATGAAGTACTAATATTGAATATATCAACCTGCAGGCTTTTTTAATGAAAAGCTGTGCTTCAGTTATGCTTCAGAATCCATTTATTTTAGTGGTTAAGGGCCAATAGAATTATGAACGTGTTCACCCCACTGTCTCACGATATGCTCGCTAAAAAGACTTGAGGCATTTAGTGCGTTTGATATTTTTGTTCTAATATCTGATTAAACGAATTGATTTTTACAATCCATTGATGGTGATAACAGTTAACTGTTGATGTGATGTGGAGCAACCCTGAGCGTCCGCGCTTCATTCGCCCTCGCTACCAAGTTGACATTTCTGAGAGCACCAAGCCAGGCGTCGCGGTGTTAGCGCTGGAAGCCAACAGAGACAACTCAGCCTCGGAATTGCTCTATAAAGTCGAAGGAGTGTACCACCCCAACGACCTCGACCATTTCGCTGTACAGCCTTCCACTGGAGAACTTATTCTCGCTCAAAGCTTAGATAGGTGAGTTTTAGTAGCGGCTGTTGAAGATTGATCATGTTCGACTCGATCAGCGTTTAATCTGATAAAATTCGTATAAATGAATTTCACGAACCTATCTTACATGAACTACTACGAAATACGAACAATTAATACCGGTCTCGCTAAATTCCGCTCGATTTCACACTAAACCTAAAATTTAAATAAAAATTTAGAAATTTAATCATTTAATAATTGTTAACTTTTTTAGCATTATTCACTGTAATGAAATGTCTAAGACTCATCTGTTATAACTCTGGAATTGTACTTTATAATTATTTTTTGATGAAATTTTGAAACAGAAAATTGAAGTCAAAATTGAGTGATGAAATATTAAAATATGGATTGCAAAATGTTTTGTCTCACATGATAAATGGTCCAGTATGTGATTGTGCCGAAATTTGGTCCATGGTTCGGTTTTTATCCAATTGATTCTGTTTTGGATGAGTTGTTTAGTCGTCGTATTGAGTGATGAATGATTGGCAATCTACAATAGGTGAGATGTAGAGTTCCTTCCCCAACTTCTTAATTGTCAGGCAAATAGTCAGCTTCTCAGTCGTTTAACTTTATTTTTTCACTTCTAAGTGACCGTCAGTTTTCAATTGTTTGACTTCATTTCTACTTCTAAGTGACTATCGCCCAGGTAGCATGAGAATTAACTTTCACGTCACTTGCACCGCAGAGAGGTACGCCATCAGCACGTCTTGCTAATATCGGTGACGAACCAGAAAGATGCTCGCCGCAAGAAAGATTATTGCCACGTCTTTATCCAAGTGCTGGACCACAACGACCACGCACCCCAGTTCTCGAGTGCCGTTTACAACGCGAGTGTTAGCGAGACTGCCGTTGTGGGGTCGCGTATCGTGCAGCTCTGGGCCACAGACAAAGACCACGGCGCCAACGGCCTCTTGGTGTATTCTATCGCCTCAGGTTAGATCAACTGCCACCAGGGGCCACGCATACACAATTCGTATTAAGTAAATATGTTCATTTCGATAATATTCTAGGTATTTTTGAGAGTCGATGAAAATTATTTTGGGGAAGATCTGAAGATTACCAGTCGTTAAGGCTGGAAACTCAAAATGATTGCCTCTTCCGATGTAGGACTGACTTGTGCAATTTACATTCAAGATGATTTCAATAACATAATTATATTTGTCTCGGATCATCATAAAACATGTAGTGAATAATCAAATTTTGAATCCTGCATTGATGACATTACCATCAATGCCCAATCCACAATCGTGATAGCAAGGAGTATCATCAGGTTCTAACGATGTTTTTATCAATTATTCAACATCCTCATAATTCTTCATGGTAGTAAATAGGATTCAGCGATTTCACGCTAGACTAAATTTGTAGCGAGCAAGCACAACCTATCTATATTTTTCATTCGAATTTAGAGTCTGATGAATCTCGGAGGTCTCATTTATCCGCTCTATCGACGGAGGGTGCACCATATTTTCCGTGTGGCGCTTATGTTCCGCAAGTGCGGCAGACAAACGACCTCCTCCGTAGCCCACACAATTTTCTCGCCTGATATTTCTCAGGCCAATTTTACATCGACTCTCACCAATATTGGAAGATTTACGTGGGAAGAGGATGGACGAAATTTAAAATTTCAGTCCCGTGCAGTAGCAAACAGAGACGTGACTTTGTTTCAACAAGCTAGATAATGTGTCCGAGTGGATGTACCCGTAAGTTCGACAACCCATGAATGAAGAAAGAAATGACTTCGAGGTTAAGGCAAAATAACGTGATAGATGATATTGAGCAATCATCTTAATCACATAAATTATATATTTTATTGTTTTCCTTAACGCACTCTAATTTCACGATTTCTGCGGGCAATGCAATGTAATTATTTAATTTATACGACCTCGAGGTCGACAGAGAAAAATGCTTCCGCTCCTCGTATGTTAACTCGTGTAGTCTAAAGACCAGCCCCAGCTAAGCATGAGAAGGACTGAGTTTTGCCACGCAGTCTCTGGGTGCCGGGACTCAAAGATAGAGAGAGCCATTAAGCATTCGTCATTTTTAACGGCTTTGGCACAACACTGAAGCCGTTACACGGGAAGAGTTCATGTTTCCAATTTGCCTAAGCTTCCTGACCGTTCGATGCGTACACGTTAAACACTCGGGAGTTTATTCCACGGTGCTGCGGAAAAAATGTCATTGAGGCAATCCACATCGGTTCGCAATGATAATGAATCAAAAGGAATTTGATTATATGGCAGTCAACCGGCGAATATATTACATTAAATTGATGATGCACCTCATGGGCTTTTTGCAATTGACTTCATCGCCGTTAAAGGTCTTGCAACAAATTCACAATTAAAAAGATTAGTGATGCCTATTCGTTCAACCAAGATTACGAAACAGTGAAGAAAAATTTCTGACGAAAACGTACTATCTTATCCATAAGTTTCCTGCATCGAATATAAAACTGAGTCAGAATTCTGTGTCGTATCTTCATGTCACAAATATATTCACTAATTGAACTAATAAAAGTAAACAGGATTAATTGCTACAAGTCATATCGAATCGCTGGGAGTTTCCCAATTGCTTTCATGTGTACAAGAATTTATTCATCATTAAACTAATTGAAACCTTCCTAGTTTGATGTTTCCAGACCTTTTTTATGTCAAAAGCGGCAAAACTTTTTTTTGACACCTTTAAATCGCAAAAACTATTATTTGACGGGCCTTGAAAATTTATATTCATATTTAAAGTCATTTTTTAAATTGAATTGATCGACAATGATTCCTGTGATGTTTAACAATCTGATCTTTGTTTTTAAAACTACATTTCTTAGAGTGATGAAATGATCAACATCAATCACTGAAAGATATTTATTTTTCGGTCGTTTCTATCATTTGTCTCGTATTTATGCAATGGCCTCAAATTGTTCCCAGACTACTCTCGTACGTGGCAACAGTTGCGCGCCATTTTCTGGGCTATTGATCGGAAACCATTGCTGACTGATGCATTATTTGTAGAAAATATTGCTTCTGAATTTCGATAATTTTTTCCAATTTTTTATAATTTTAGTTTTCGGTATTTTCATCTGCATTAATATGGGTTTTTATAGCAATAGGTAACTTAGCATAGCGGGCAACTTGCAAGATGGGTGCGTAATCGCATATAGCGTTCAACCACTCATCTTTCATCACCGATGGAAATTCTTCCCTATAATTTCGAAAGACACGCGGTATGCGTGTGACATCAAGAAGAGTTAGGAATTATTGTCATTAGTTTACTTATTTATACTACGAAGTGGATTACATTTTCCAAATTATGGTGTTGCTACCAATGTAAAATATTCAGAATACTGGCATAAATGTAAGCACTTTTAATAATTGGAATAATTAGGTATTAAATTTCATTGATGGTCACCACTTTGTTAAAAAACCATATTAAAATTACTGTATATTTCAATTAGAATGGTTTGTGAAATAAAATAAAAGAATTCAGACTCATTGATAACTTTAGTATTTGAAGTTTGATAATAATACATTGATAATAAGTATTTGAAGTTTGAAATATGCAGATGAATTTGAAAAATGCATATGAATCTGACTCGTACAAAGATTGATTTGAAGAAAGTACACTCAATATTCATTTATTTTTTAACATAACAATGAAAACTTGTCAAATAAATCTATCGTACGATTGAACAAAAATAGACTCGCAAATAATAATATTATTATGCTTTCATAAAAACGAATGAAATATTTCTACGTAATTTTTCTAATCTAGATTTATTAGAAGCAGTTAGGTAATTAGGATGTTTAAAATTAGGGTGTTTACAATTAGGATGTTTACCATTTAGTAGATGTTTAACATTTAGATGTTTCCAATTAGGATGTTTACACTAGCACATACCTTCTAATTATATTGATGGTAACTTATTGGTAAATTTTATGTTACCTTCATTCTCATCCAATAGAAGTGCGTTTAAACGATATTTTCAAAAATCAAAGTCTTTCCTGAGCTGACACTCGACCTCTCCGGGAAAGAGGGATTTGGCTTCGGTCTTTCAAGAATATTCGGAGAAGAAGTTGCCGCGCGCTGAAGTGATATGAGGAAACTATTGAAAGGTGCTCTCTTGGTTTTATCGCCAGGCAATATCGATGGGGCCATTGGTATCGACCCGGAATCTGGTCTTGTGTTCCTGCAACGGACTTTGGAGCGCCGCCAAATTTCTAATTTGGTGCTAAGCATCCGAGCCTCGGACCAGGGATCGCCGCCCCTCCACTCGTTCACCACCGTCCGCATCGCCATCCACCGACCTAAAGAAGCACAGCCAAGGTATTTATTTAAGAACATTCTTCTGCTTTCTAAAATTTTATTTGTTAAATCACCATGTTTATTCCTCGTTAGGCTGATGTTTTGGCTTTCCAATCCTTATTTATAAGCGATGAAAGACTGCTTACACTCGTATTTCCTCGGAGCCTTCACAAATCTTTATAGTCTCTTATGAGTCTGAAGGAGCGCAAGATAATAACATTCTGTACATGAAAACGCTGGTTGATGAAAGTCATGGCACGAATAAAATTCTGAAATGAAAAGAAAATATTTCTTTAAAACTCGGGACGTAGGTAATGTTACTAATCTTAAAATATATGATGCAATTGATCAGTAATTGGCTCAGATGTTAGATGTAGTAGAACGATCCACATGGGAAGAACATTAAAACTGCTGTAATTAGTGCGAATATACATATACTAGAATTCTCACTTGCTTCTAATCCCTTCAGGGTTAATATTATTAAAACACTCCGCGGAATTTTGCACATAAAAGCTGGAAACCCAAAGATTGTGATCAGTCTGACGACGTTTGAAATTAAGCAGTTCGAACGCTCAAAATAGTCATGTTCACGTAACTTTTTATAAAACAATCAGCAAATTTACCCTTACTTACAATGTTTGTAATGCTCACTTTGAATCCAAGACTAATCGCGATCTATTGCTTCTATCCGTCTTGTTCTGTGAATTTAACATAGAAATTAAATTTGCAGAACGTTTCATTGCCTCATTGATTGACAATCTGTGATTGATTGCTCATTAGATCCGAATCTCTCATGTGAGTAATCAATGAGAGAGCAGTATACTGTAGTCCATTTATTATCATTTTATCGTTTTAGTTTGATCTAGTCTAAGTATCTTACTGAAACATATAATTTCTTATCCTTAATTTTCCTGCTATCCCTGATAAACTATTGTAATCAATCTTAAATTTTATCCATTGAAAATGTTCGTCTGTGTGTGGATAAATAGGACGAAAGCCAACCTTACCCGTAAATTTGAAACGATGAATATTTTAACGTTTCTGGCAGGATTTACTTTCTGCTTCATTATCCTGGGTCAAAAAGAATTTGTGCTAAAAATACTAATTCTAATTACATTTCTAATTCTAATCTAATTTCTAATACATATTTCATATTTTTAGGCAATTCTAACTTTCTGTTTGTCCACCGAATCAATATTACCCAACATGATTGACATTATGTGAAGAAAAATGCAATTTAATCTCTATTCAAGCTGTTTCCTTGCAGTCACATATTTAAATCATGCGTTTTTATCTCACTTTCCTTGCATTAACGTATGAAGGTTCCTACGGAGCTCGACTGTGCTGGAGGTGAGCGAGGCAGCCCGTGTCGGGGACTACATTGGAGTCCTGCAGGTCGATTGCCCTGACGGTCTCCAGTTCACGCTCGACAAGAACTTGCGCGCCTTGGACGGCCGAGCGCCCGTCTTGGTAAACCCTTCTTCAGGCATGGTCATCCTCGACGCTCCTCTCGACTACGAGCGCCAGCAGTCGTACAACATGACCGTCACTGCAACGTCCATGGTAAGATATTTTCTTGTTGAAACACGTACGATTAATGACGAGGGAATGTATTATGTTACAATTTTTAGGTCCAAAAAAATTCAGATGACGTGAATTGATCAAAGGCAGGTCTCAACAAGGGCAGTTATAATATATTTAGCGACGTATCGAATGTATCAAAATTCATTTTCAAGTTACAAGAAGCATTGAACAATGGAATTTTGGTGGACATAGGTACATAATACGCGTTAATAGGACACAACACGAAACTTTTGAAACGGACAATGACCCTGAAAAATATCACAAAGTCCAGACAACTCCGGTAGTTTGCAAACAGATGCTGAGTCCAATCCCCATAAATGAGGCTCTAACAATCGTCGGTTAGTGAATAGTGTGCACCTCTGCATGATGATGCTGGTGGGTTCCTCCAGCACAGTGTGAGCGACGGTCTTGTGAGCTTATCTAAGGGGGTTTCCCTGTCCTCCAGACTGTAGGTGGCAGGTGAAACGGTCTCAATGTCGTGGTTGTTAGTCCAATTACTTCAGTGTATTGCAAATGATGAAGAAGTCTACAACCTTCTTTGAAGCAACATGTACAGACCACATCGGCTTCTTGGAGAACTCCCGCTATTTTTTTTGCAGGGTCAATTGTTGCGTATAGACCGGAGCTTGACGTTGTTGTCAATGGTGTCACCAAGCCAGTTGAATTTATCGATGATTTGGAGATGAAGTTGCTTGTTTTTAATACTCAATGTCGTAGTTGTTCGTCTAATTCCTCCAATGCAGTTCAGTACTATGAAGTTTACAATATTCTTTGAATCAAAATTTATAGTCGACACCGGCCTCGTGGAGGACTTTAATTGATTTCTAAGTAATGGTCATTGCTGCGTATAGTCTAGAGTTTATCGTTATCATGGGTTTCACAGAGCCTGTTTAATTCATCGATCATCATGAGATGAAGTTGTTCGATTTTAATATTTTATACAATATTTTTACACGCATGAAATTTCAGAAGAACGACACGTATCGTTCGTTCATTAAACCAACAAAATTGTCTTGAATTATGCTGGCTTATGATTATGATTAGTTAGGGGCTTTAAAATTAGGTACCACAACATATCGTAAAGTACAAACATATTCAGTCATAAGCTGCGCTGCTTAAGGTATAAGATGTCGAGTCCTGCGTTGAAAATATTTCGAATGATGAATGACACAATGACGATGCAGCTTTGTACGCATTAATGAGCAGATGCGGGTTACACATATTTATTTTAATAACCATGACCAAGCGAATATGTGACATGTTATATGTCACGTGTTACTCATGCATGCAAGAATTTATCGAGTATAAAGTTGAATAATAATTATTGCCTGCAGTGTTTGGGCGACGATGTCAGCACCCAATCAATTAATGGCCATAAAGCCCGCGAGGCTCTCCTGAGTGTTTTGATATGAATGCAAGTACTTCACAGTCCAAAAATAATGTAATAATCATATGATATAAACAAGCATTGGAGTATTACAGCGAAAGTTAAACGCACAAGTAAGCGTATCACGGAATGTTCTCTCGAGTGTGTGCATATATTTGATCATGAATCCAGGCGACTCATTTGAGGCTTTTTCTGGATATAGGAAAATTAACAACCAAAAGTAACTAAAATAGAAGATAACATACATGCCTAAATGATCGAAATATACTAACTAACACACCAAATATTTTCCGAATTAATCTCAATCAATCACACTATAGGAAGTAATACCTCAAATGCACCACGATGATGCGTACACCTAAGCCTCGTAAATAATCTAACCGAATTGCCCACTTTCCAATGCAAATATAATGAATTATAACTCAATTGAATGACCAAGACGAAGTTCTTAATAACCTGACTCTCTTTAGGATGCATGAATCTTATTTCGTCTTAATATTTTTCGAGAAGATCAACGTGACATTGCTCGGAATAAATAATCATTAAAATGTTCCAGAATTATATTCATTATCATGAGCACTTTGTGTGATTTCCGATATGGTTTCGATCAGATTTGGGATCGTGAGTAAAACTTTGTAAACTTTAGAGGCTGGACTGCAAGAAAATAGTACATATATTTGTACTCATTATATTTCGAACGCTTGCTGTTCAATTGGTTCTCTACCGAGTTACGATCTATGTTTTCTCTGCTATCATAATGATGATCAATTAAATATCCTTTGAATTAACGAAAAGATCGCTAAAACTTAAAAAGTTGACCGTATTTGACCGTTCCCGTCTTGGAATTGGACGCAAAGACTTTGTACTTAAAGTTTAATTAATTTTTTTTTAATCAACCACAGTTTTAAATGCTTAATTATAGCTTGCGGGAGATTGATTGTTGTCTAAATGCCAAATGGGTAAAAGACTGCCAAAATTGCCCTGGAATTATTAGAAAATTCGTGTGTGATAAATGTGTAATAACAGAATGAAGCTATATAAAAAATGGTTGGAAAAGAATTGAAATATTTTGCGAATGAACGCAAATTATTATGTACTGATAATATATTAAAATGCATGAAAATGTACGAAGGCGTAATATAATGAAAATTTCAGAAAGTACGTGGAAAGTTCATGGGAAATTTATGGTAAATGTATAAAGAAAGTAAGGAAGATTAATTGAATTTTTTTTGTGTGTGTAATATTTGGGTAACCTGAAAACGTGCGTAAAATTTGCGTAGCAAACCAATGCTTAACCTTAAAATAAATTGCACAACATCTATTCCTCACAAATGTATAGTTAAAAATGAAAATGCGGTTTCCATGCTGCAAAGAAACAACCTGGCATTGTAAACGAAAATAACTATCAGATGCGAACCAGAAGAGCGCACGTAATTTTTGTTTCGTCTCCTCCGAATTATCTTTCCGAAATCTCAAATCCATATCACAGACACAAACTTGTCATATATTAGTCGTAATGCTCTATATTATCCACAGTCCGGTTCCTAATTTCATTTCTATGTAAAAATGTATGGGATTATATGTAAAAAATTGCTGCTCCCTGCATGCCTTTTCATTTGCATAGTTTTTTACATGGCATTGAGCAGGTTGGCTTGCGAGCGCTCAGCAATGGGCCGCCAGCCTCGTGTCGCGTTCCGAGCATTGTTGCATTAGTCGATACTCTCTTGAAAGAAAAATTCCCCGCAAAAATGCGAACGAGGCAAAATTCGAAGGTCTGCGCCCAGAAGATTGCTCGGATAATGCCGGCTCCGTTTGTCATAAAGGAACACTGTGCTGATGCTCGCTTTTTGCAGACTACCATCCGTCTTGAAGTTAAAATATTGCTGAGCCCTGGCAAACTTTTCGCTAGCTTTGATGTCCTGGACAGTTTGGTTGAAATGCATAGAAATATACGACGCCTTTTGTATGCGTTCCTGGCTTTAATTGTAAACTTCAACATTCAATTCGTTGCATGTGCACTGCTGAACTTTGCGTAAAATGGATCAATTTGGCCGTGAATTTCTGCGAGCTTGATGAAGCTCTCAACTGAGTGCACTTTTGAGAATAATGTTGTTTTGAAGAAAGCGACGTGGTCATAAGATCTTGTGGTGGTCATAAGATCTTATTTTCGCTGAACATGACAAAAGGATAAGCGTGTGATCCATCTAAAAGTCCTACAGTAAATTAAAGTTGAAGTTTCTTGATATTTTTATCAACACGTGACGTATTGGATGCAATTTTAAATCATTCGAACGACCATGAACTTCGCCTAGCAACAGTAAGGTGATCGAGTATTCAGGTTAGTAGTAGTCGTATATGATGGTCCGCCGTTTGTTTAAACTGCCACAAAAACATTTATGCAAATCAGGAAACTGGTGGAGTGCGTGTCGTAACCAAATCTCAGCACCCAAATAAGAACAATGCTCTACTCTAAAACATGATTAAAGGTTATTATTAGAGTTCGGGTGATTAAAATAATTCATATAATTACCTCCCGCATCTAATTGCCAAATTAACAATGTTTGCGTTTAAGGTTAGCGGTCAATAGGCACGCAAAAAGGCAACGTTATTTATATGAACACAACTGCCGGTCAGCGTCTTGCTGGAGAATATACGGCCCTAATCATTCAAGACTCCAATAATTCTTTATAATTTATATCAGATCCGGCAAATTTGTCTAGAATGTTTACAACCGCCATCAGTTGCTTTGTAATTTGATTTGATTTTCAGCCATCACAACCCTACAGTGAGCGTATTGTTAGCCATAATATAATAAATAATTCGTTCTCAATAGCAGTTGTGGGCGTTGGATCTTGAGGAAAAGTTCAGTCATTAGTCGGGAGTAGAGACCATCCGCAACTCCGTCGTTAAAGCCGCCCTGCCAGTCTATTTGTCTGCTGTGTGGGACTAAGTGGAGCTTCCACTTACTCCTATGAATAATTACAGAATGCACTTATCAACTTTGCCGCTCAATGTTCTCCACGAGACCTCAACGACAACAGCATTATTTTTGCAATTTTTCATTTCGGAACGCGTTTAGTGAAATTTAAGTTTGGCTGGGCGTTTCTTAAGCGTAACTCTACGTTGTTACTCTACTCATATATAATTGTTCTACTTGCAATGGTAGTCCAAATGAATTGAGCTAAAAATTTATGTTGTGGCATTCTTATAGTTCCTAATTTTTTAATTTGCATGAGCGTTAAAGGCATTGAATGGAACTGGCGGGTAACGCATCATATCGTCTCGACTTCTGTCATGGCAAATAAATGGATTCCTGTCAAAAGCTAGAATTTTGCGAGATCCCAGCGCGTTATAAACATTCATCCCTGAACCTTTTAGATTCACGCATATTTATGATTAATACGTTAGTCGATTTAAACTATTTTACTTCAGAATTGTTATCCCTTTATTTCATTTTACTTAAATTGAAATGACCCTTGCAAATGGGGTTCAACTAAATCTCTTGTACATGCGCCCCGTAATGGTGTTGGTTGAAAATAATTGACAAACGTTGACGAAAAGCTTGAATACAACATCCCAAACGTAAATTTCTAGAACGTCTTTTTCACGAGCCTTACGAATTCACCATTGACTGTACTCAAGAGCAAAATTTTTCTCGGCCGAGAAATATGCAAAGAAGTTGCGAGGTTCAAGCAGCACCTCGAAAGCTCGGTCGAAGGTCTCGAGGGGACATGAACAAGCCTGATCCCTCACTAAGTCCTCGCATCAATCACGAAGCTAGCAACTCCACTTCTGCTGGAAAAAATTAAGTAAATGAAAAGATAGCATTGTTGGGCGGCAAGTCATGGCTGCATGGCTTGAAACAATAATTGAGCTGTGCTGTAAAAAATAAACGCTATCATACATTTTATTGCATATCGTTAATATATTAATTAAAGCGACAGTGTTGAAACTCGGCTACGACTTGAGGCGAACCCCTGATAATTCTACTACCCTCTATTTGTGATAAGTGGCAACTGTTGAGAATTGAAGCTCACATCAATTTCAAGTGGTCGTTTTAGTAAAGATATGCACACTCCTCAACTATTCATTAGAAAAAGAAAATTGAGCTAAAATTATCTTGGACCAGATCACAAGGATTCTTGGGCTAACTTCTCTCGCAGCAACCATATTGTGAAGCAAAAGTGTCCCTTTCAAGAGCGTGGAATTAAGCTCAGAACAGAAGATATTCAAGGCTTCTTGTAACCTCCGCTCCTGAATCTCAATAATTCAGTCTCAAAATTAAATTATTTTCGGCCTTAACTCTTTTTTTACCTTGCCATGCGTTCACAAAGTTCAGTCCGTTTCAAGAAACTTTTCGTCTGAACTTAAGAGTTGCGCCATTGGTCTCACGAGTTTGGCCTTTGAGTTCAAGAGTTTTGCCTCTTGACGAGCCGTCAGGTCCCGCCATCTGTGGCAACATACCGGGCATTACTCCGGCTCTCCAAAAATTGTAAAAAAGTTTCATGTGTAGATTTGCCTGCCTGCGCCTTACTACACGGATCTTCGTCGGAGAAAATTCAATTAGGCGTTGAAGGTTGAGAAGCAAAGATACGAGAATTTCAGTACGAATAAAAGTATGGGCCAGCTGCACAAGAAATATCATTCATTTGGATTTGAAAAAATTATGAATTATAAAGTTAAGCAAAACATATTGAGACGCACTGCCTGATGTGGCTAAAAATGGTCTCCCATGACAAAATGTCTACTTTAGGACATCAAAAATTAAAAAATCACTGAAATTATTTCTATTTTCTGAACAGAGCGGTGCATGGGCTCGTACGTCCCTGATTCTAGCGGTGCGAGACGAGAATGACAACGCGCCTTCGTTCAGCAAAAATAACTATTGGGGAGAAATATCAGAAGCGGCGCCCATTGGTTCAGTCGTGACCGAAACGCTGCCACCTGCTCACTGGTCCTCTTCGTACCATCGCTCCAGCGAGCAGAGCGAGACCGCCAGACCTCTCGTCATCACGGCCCACGACCTGGACTCTGATCACAATGCTAACCTCTACTTCGAGATTGTCGACCTCCCGGCCAGGAACATCTTCAAGATAGACCATGCAACTGGTAATTAATTTTATTCAATCATCAATTTTGCTGTGTTTTTCAACTCGTGAAGGATTCGCTTCATTTTTAGGGATTCATTTTCTATCATGAAACTATATTTGGAGTATTTGAGGTAGATTTTAAATATAATTCTTTATGATTGTTTTCACAAATCTGATAAAATTGGAGGGAAGTGAAACTGAAAATAACTCTTGTAGTTTCCATTTAACAGCCGAACACATTTATTTCCATTTGTTATCTATAGTTTTGTCTCTGAAAAAAAGTATACAATTAACGGAAAAATTAATAAATTAACTTTAACTAGCGAAGCGAATAAATAACCACATGTATAATACAGTTATTTCTTCAACATAAAACTTAATTGCACCAGTAAATGTGAATAGATTACACGAGGACATTCTGAACTTCACAATTCGTCGCAGGCGTTGAATAACATAAAAAGGTTTGGCCAACCAGCCAGCCATTTTTTTTCGCTAAACCTCGGTATGCAAGTTTTTCATTCTTTATTGAACCTCGGTATGCAAGTTTTTCGCTCCATTTATCACGCTGAACGCAAATTAAATAATCTACATGACGTCCCGCGCAGGCGCCATCAGGTCGGCACGTGCGCTGGATCACGAGCAAGAATCGCGCGTGCAGTTCAGAGTGGCGGTACGCGACAGCGGCGTCCCTGTACTGGCGGCAGCGGCACTGGCCGTCGTTGTCATCAACATCACCGACGTGAACGATGTGGCACCAAGGTTCCTGCAACAGGAGTACGACGCCAACCTGTGGCAACCGTCGCACGCGTGAGTCATGCCTAGATTTTCTTATAATCTGAGGATGTTGTGTATTTTTAGATTAATCCGTTGAATACGACGCCAACTTGTGGCAACCGTCGCACGCGTGAGTCATGGCTAGATTATCTTATAATCTGAGGAGGTTATATATAATATTTTTAGATTAATCCGTAGAATACGACGCCAACTTGTGGCAACCGTCGCACGCGTGAGTCATGCCTAGATTATTTTGTAATCTGACGAGGTTGTATATTTTTAGATAATTCCGTTGAATACGTCAACCTATGGCAACCGTCGCACGCGTGAGTCATGGCTGGATTATCATATAATCTGAGGAGGTTTAATATTTTTAGAGTAGTCCGTTGATCTAGTCTTGTTGTCGGCACTTGTTAATCCAGTCGCCGAGAAATGCAAAAAGGCTCGGCCGGGTAGACATTAGTTACTGCCGTTCAATATGTCATTATATTCCCAAATTTATTCAGTATGGGATTCCCAATTGTTTGAATGGTTCAGATACTTAAAAATGATGACGTTCAGCAAAAATAAGGTAAATCTCGATTACGTTCATTTTAAAATAATTTTTCATTTCGATGAATATAAGTCTAACTTCACAAATTGGCGTATTCATCAAAATACTTCACTAAACACACTTTTCTAATGATTTTATCTCCGGGAGAAATGCTGAGGGCATGATAAGTAAGACATTATCAATAATTATTGAAGTATCGAAGATTGGATGTTCAGTGCTTCTTTTCGTGAATAAAAGATTTGCTGAATTAAGGATTAAAAACATGGAAGAGTTTCAGGTTCGTAGAAAAGAACACAATATTTTAATGAAGGAAAGCCTGAAAGAGTTTTCTCTCTGTGTAATACAGACGTAATTAAACCAGAGAAAGAGATGTTATACTTGATTGAAAATGATTGTTTAAACGTGGATATTAGTGCCATGTATTAAAAAAACTCATTTATATCAAGTAAAGAAGGCAGTAAAAATGAAATCAACAATAAGTCTTTCATCTAAGATTAAAGAATGCTCGATTGCAGCTTCATTTGGTCTGTCACATTTGAACATAGTTTATGACTTGAAAAATTCTTCAGATATTTACACAATACGTTTGAATCCTGAGATATCATAATTATACTTCCAACAAGTTATTTCCGCTCTAAATCTGAATAAGCTAACATTTTCTCCATAAACCAGAATATTTTTCTCTTCTTTTAAATTTGTGTACGGAGGATGAGAATGTCCATAAGCGAAGCAGGCACATTCACGTCTGTTTGGAGGTCGTGCTTGTGTTCTCTTGAGGTTTTATTATGACGATGCACGACGCGTTCGCCGTCGTGTGATTCTCCGGCGACGTCTAGGAATTGAACCGAGCCCTGGTCTCAGTTCAATGGCGTTGGTGCATTCCACGGAGCAATATCTGTTTTTTCTCGAGGTGGAATTGCGTGCAGGTTGCTAGTATTGCTGCTGTACACCTTCGGTTCCATCAAAACCTGATTTGTGGCCGAAATTCACTCTCTTTCCTGGAATCGATAGCAGACGCCAGCGGAAATTTTTCCTGCCGATTTGACTGGGGATGCTGAACAAATGAACGCGCATCGGTATTGCTCCAGAGCACAGAAACTTTACCCTCTCCGCGTTGCCAACATGTAGGAAACCGTGACGATGCAAGCAGAAGTGTTCATGTTACATTCATGTTTTGTCAATGTGCAAGAAAAAGATTCTCGCTTGCGCACATTGATTTGGTGAAGAAAGAATACAAAGCAACAATCGCCGAAGCCCCATGCAACTAAATTCCGAATTGCGTGACAATGTCTATTGGAGCTGCGCTCGTAGTGTACAAAAGTTGTTAGGGCTCAAAAGTTGGTTGCACTTCAAGGTAGGTTAGCTCGCTGTTACGGGCTGACCAAAAGTTCCTGAGCACGAAGATTGGAAGTGAAAGAAAAGTCGTACTGCATGAAGGGTGATGGAGAAAGAAATTTGATCGAGCATGGAAGGTGGTGGCACACGGCATATGACAATGCGGCCAGTTGGTATATAGTGCACAACAGTTGGTAACGCTCTACAATTAATGGTAGCTGACGATAGTTGATCCTGAACAACATTTGATGGTACATAACAGTTGGTACTGCATGGTAGTTGTCAATGAACAGCAATTGTGAACTTACGACTATCGGCATTACATAACAGTTGTTAGTACTCGGCAGTTGGTGGTGCACAGCAGTTGGGAGAGCACTGCCGTTTGCAGTACACGAGAATTGGTGGAGCACGGCTCTATTTTCATGCGGTAGGTCAGTAGTAAGTGATGCACGGTAGGCAAGGTCAAGAATGGTTCGGATCTCTCTTGTACGAAACTTGCTGTACAGTATATAAATTTATACTATTCTCATGTAATTACAATTCATGGGCTAATGGCATTCGGAGCATGTCAGCCATTTGCGACGGCAAACAAAATGCGCAGTAGAAGGTTCGAATGAACCATTTCTCGATAAGAATTGTTCGCATACGAATCTAGCTACAGCCTACCAGATTGAAGTTAGGATATCACGAAAAATCATTGGAGCCATGCAACTTTTCGTTATGCGACAGCCAATTGACATATAAAATGCCAAACATATATACAGAAGACGCAGACAAAAGAATCTTCTGAGAGGTATCCAGCTGTGGGAGCTTACATTCACGAACCTATAATCATTTGATGCAATTGTAAACAATTCACGTTGCCTGAAGTGTTGACATTGCTTATAAATCTCCAGAAAACTTTTTTGGCAAGCGTAATCGTGCCAAAGTAGATGTCACTTGATTGCTTAAATCGCAAGTTTACGAAAATTTCAAAAACAAAGAAAATTCCATAAAAGTTCATATAGAAAACGTTTCGGAGTCCAGCTCCATCGTCAGTTCATAGAATCTAGAATTCATGTAAAAGATCACAAATTAATACAATTGAAAGTCACAGAACCCATATTAAAATCAAAATTTATAAATGATAGACAGAGCACAAAAAAACCTATCTATTCACAATTTAATGGTGATAGGAGCTACAAGCTGAATTCAAACTGGACCTAAATTTGAAAATGTATAAGGATTCTAGAATACGCAGATCTGAAGTATACCGGAGGGGAAAGCTAACACCCTAAAGTCACTGTCAGAAACAAGGAAATCACACTGCTCGGCGTGTGTCCGCACAGCCGAATGAGGGGGGAGCGATAGCAACTGTCCGGTCCTACAACTCTTGCCCTTATGCTCAGCGACCCTGGAATAAAGATTGCGTGACGTCATCCCGACGTACGCAGATGTACATAATGCACAACAATATTGATAA